TTTGAAAATTGTAACTTTTCCCAGAAATCCTTTCAACAGTAAATATGATGTTTCATTTTCTTTCTAGATAGCATGTGTGAATTACCTCTCTATGCCCACATATCAATGTGTGTAAAAAGTCATGAATGGCGTAATACCGTATAGCATGAGGAAAATGCATCTCTATGCTTGTATGTCATGTGCATGTCAAATGCGATGTGACTCAGTAATAAAACCATATGCATACTCTCAGAGTATCAATTCACTCAATCCACACAGCAACTCAGTCCTCACAGTCACTCAGCCCTCACAATCACTCAGTCCTCACAGTCACCCAGTCCTCCCAGTCACTCGTCACTCGGCACTCGGCATGCACTTAGTAGGTACCTGCGCTCATTGAGGGTGTGCACGCTCCGGAGGGGCTCCTTCAGCCCAAGCGCTATTACAAGACAATCATGGCGTAACTCAATAAAACATGTTGCGGCGTGCAGCCCGATCCCATAAATATCCTCACAATCAGGCTCTCGGCCTCACTCAGGCATAAATTAATAAAACATGTTGCGGCGTGCAGCCCGATACCATAAATATCCTTACAATCAGGCCCTCGGCCTCACTCAGTCATCAATCTCTCCAGTCTCTTGGGCTCTCAATGTCATGAAACTGGCTCGAAAAAAATGATATGATGTATCAATAAGTAACAACTGAGACTGAGATATGATATGAATGCATGAATATGACTAAGTACGAAATATCAATGAAATCAGTGAGGTGACAACAAGAAACGACCACTATGGGTCCTAACAATATCAACATAAAGCCTAAACATGATATCTAGCATGATTGACAGCTCAATTAATTATTCACATGGTGAAAACACAGATATCAACAAACGAGGGCCACTAAACAGTGCCAGGGAAAACTATAGAGTCACAATTCATAGGGTGCACGTCCACACGTCCGTTACCTAGCATGTGCGTCACCTCAATACCAATCACACAACATATAATTTGGGGTTTCATACCCTCAGCACTAAGTTTAGAAGAGTTACTTATCCCAAAAAAGCCAATTTCAACGCCGAGCAAGCCAAGCAATGCTCCAGGAATGCCATCACGCACGTTCCGACCTCCGAACGACTCGAAACTAACCACAAACAACTCAAATACATCAAACAATGCTAAAGGAACCAATCCCAATCGAAAAAGGTCGAATCATTAATAAAAAGCCCAAAATTGGCCAAAAAGCCCAACCCAGGCCCGCATCTCGGACGCGACAAAACTCACAAAATCCGACAACCCATTCAATTATGAGTCCAACCATACTAATTTCATCCAATCCAACTCTGATTCGATCTTCAAAACTTCAAAATTCACTTTATGAAACTTTAGGCAAAAACCCTCAAATTTCACACACAAGTCACATTTGACATTACGGACCTGCTCCAACTTCCGGAATCGAAATCCGACTCCGGTATAAAAAAGTCCACTCCTGGTCAAGCTTTCCAAAATTCCAACTTGCGCCATTTCAAGCCAAATTCTACTACGGACCTCCAAATCACAATCTGGACGCGCTCCTAAGTACAAAATCACCCAACGAGCCAACAGAACCATCAGAAATCTAATCCGAGTTCAAATACTAAAAAGTCAAACTTGGTCAAACCTTTCAAATTTAAAGCTTCAAACTGAGATTCATTCTTCCAAATCAATTCTGAATAACCTGAAAATCAAACCGACGATCCACATAAGTCATAATACATCATACGGAGCTACTCATGCCCTCAAACAACCGAGCGAAGTACAAATGCTCTAAACGACTAGTCGGATCGTTACACCTTGCTTGGTACTAATATACACATGCTTGGTGAGGATGAGTTAAATTGCATGAAGGGTGTTTCTGTGCAGTGAGGATGAGTGATATACACACAAATGATGTTTCTATACGATTTGATATGATATATGCACGAAGAGTATTTTCATGCGACTTGATATGATATTGGCATGAAGGATATTTCCGTGCAGCCGAGGACGAGAGACATGCATTTTATGATGTTTCTCCTTTCGTCTCATACACATATTTTCCTCTACCTGTTTGTTATTGTTACATATATGCTTTCTACCTTATTTGTTATTGTTACATATATGCCCTCTACCTTATTTGTTATTGTTACATATATGCCTTCTACCTTATTTGCTATCGTTATATATATATACCTTCTATCTTGTTTTTGTTGTTACATCTGTGCCTACTATCTTGTTTATTATGGTTAGCTGCATGTCTTCCACCTTGTTTTCCACTGTTAGCTATATACCTTCTACCTTGTTTGGAATGGTATACATATGCTTGGTAAGAGAGAATGGTATTGCACGAAGGATGTTTCCGTGCTTGGTGAAGATGAGATAAATGTATGAAGGGTGTTTTCGTACCATTTAATTTGATATCTTGTACACATTCTTCTTATTATGAGGAAATATGAATATGGTTCATGTAGTTTATGGACATCGTATCTGCCTCATGAACTTGACTTATTGAGAAAGATTTGGTTGATATGTTTGAAAAATCATGCTTGTTATCTCTCTTATTTGATTCTTTCACTATTACTCGTCTTTCCTCTTGTTATTTCTCTTGCTTACAAATTGCATAGGTTATATTCGTGAGTATTTTTTTAACTTAAATACCTCGCCACTACTGTAAGGAACGCATTGCATGTCACTCGTTCAACTGTATTTCCAAATTCCAATCAGTTTTTTCTTTCTTTATTAAAATTTTTTAAATCTCAAAGTGTAACCTTATTATCAATTTTAATTTCTTTTATCACCATTTTCCTCTCATCATCTCTTCCAATCAAAGCCCACCACTAGAGCACCAACAAATTATTTTATGACATTCGAGACAAAAAGAAACGTTTTGAGTTAAGTAAACGTTGAAATTTGTTGCTGCACAGACAAATTCTATTAAATTTTGGTTGTATATCAATAGAGCTGTCAATATGGGGGGCTGGGCTAGCCGGGCTAGCCCAGCCCAGCCCACGTGGGCTTTAGCAATTGACGGGCTGGGCTGGGCTAGCCCACCATTTTGATGGACCTTATAATGGTCGGCTCACCCCAGCCCTATGTGGGCTACGGGTCCCCACGGGCCGGCCCATCATTTTTAAAATATAATTTTATATTTTTTCTTTAAGTTCAAAACTAAAAAAGATAAATATTTAAAAGTTAAAAAAAATCTTATTGGTTCTAATATATCACAATAAAAGTAAATAAATACTTAAAAAAGATAAATATTTTAAAATAACTTTTTATACGGTTCTAATATATCACAATAAACACTAAAAAAATAAAAGACATGACTATATTTCATTCACTAAAAGTAAAAACTCAAACAAACTATTCGAGAGAACGTCAATGACGCTCATGGGATATCCAACACATCATCTTCATCAAACACATTTGAATCCGCTTGTGAGAAGGTTGTCTTAACATCTTCACTTTCATCTACATCTACAATTCGTATGCAATATTAATTAGTTAAATATTAAGACTAATTAACATCTACATTTGGGATACTCTTCTTGTTATGTTTTGTGTCATATGCTTTTTATATTTTATACATTTTAAATACGTATTTTTATTAGACCTACGGGCCGGCCCAGCCCAGCCTCAGTAAAGCCTCACGGGCCACGGGCTTACTCGGGCCGGGCTTAAAAGCCTCATTTTTAAATGGGCTCCAAAAATTCTAGCCCAGCCCTGCTAAATCACGGGCTGGGCTGGGCTGGCCCAACGGGCCAAGCCCATATTGACGGCTCTATATATCAATGTGCTACACTTTATCTATATTTTATCTACAAAATAAACTACATGTCAGAGTAAAATATATATATCAGTATGGATTTTCACAATATCTACAAAATTTCTACATTTATTCTACAATAAAATTACATATCATTTGAAGAATTAATATGAAATACAGAATTTCAATGTTTCTACAAATTATCTACAAAATTTCTACAAACTGTTCATAATAGAATTTATCTTTATTTTCATGCAGGTTCGTCTGGGACACTAAAGTTACTTGATATGCCAACATTTTCTGTTATAGAGGAATATGAAAGTATAATAATAATAGATAGTACACCAAGTTTTATTGAAGTAGGACAAGTATACCAAGACAAGCAAATTTCATACAACTAATTATGCATAGTAAAAATAAATTTTATACAACTAATTATATATTATACAACTTATTTATAATTTTCTACAACTTTCACACATTATTTCCACCCAGTTAAATACAACTACAATAACATACAACTTAAATACAAATTTTATATAAAATTTATACAATATGTCTTTTGTATATTTTGTATCTGATTTATACATAGTAAAAACGAATTTCATGCAACTAATTATATATTATATAACTTATCTACAAATTATCTACAATTTGCGTACATTATTCCTACTCAGTTATATACAACTACAATATATACCACTTAAATATAATTTTTATACAATGTTGTTCAACTTTCATACAATAGTTAAATGAATAAAAGAAAAATAAATAAACAACAGTCTAGAATTTTCTATAATTTTTCTACAATTTCTGCAATATAATGTATGTCATGTCTCACTACAAGAAATCGGGCTTTCGGTGGCGACAAGTATTGCCACTAAAACTAGAAAAGGCGCCACAAATGGTATTCGTGGCGACGCCGTGGCGACCACGTGGTCGTTGACTATACTAAGAGGATATTAGCGGCGACCATTCAGGGTCGCCACAAAAGATGACCCCCGAAAGTGCTTCAAAAAATGGGTTGCCAATGATGAAGCTACGTTTAGTGGCGATTAATTCGCCACCAAAAACCTTCAGTAGCGACAGCAAGCTGCCACAAAAAGTTTTTTTTTTTTTTTTTTCTTGTGGTGCCCTTGAAATCTATTTTCTGTGGCAACTTGGGTCGCCACCCGAAGTATCTTTTTTTTGAAAAAAAAAAAATTAATTGGCAGATACATTTTACTACTTTACCCAACAACATATCATATTATAAGAAACACCACCAAATACAATTGAACGAAATGACATAGAACTTTTCATTACCATCTATTCTACAAAGTATACAACACTCCATAATACATTCAATTGTGCATAAACATGGAAAATAAAATCAGCTGTCTATGGATTCCTCCTTGGCCAACATCATTTTCCTTTTCGATGAACCTTTGTCCCTGCAATTTAAAGAACAAAAATGACAACGATCATTTTGATAACCCTCATAACAGAAAGCAACTTTTTTTTTATAATATTGAAGTACTTATCAAATCCAACTAAGGTTCATATCAGCTTGTATACAAGATAGACTTATGAAATGAACTCAGTAACCACTACTGCCGACACCAGTAAACCTTCATCTCTGCCTTAAGCATTATCCTTCCTTTTATGGCATCTTAATTAAACCAAAACTGATTGACATTAAGGTCTTGGGTACTGCCCTAAGCATTCTCAAAATTGTGACTTCTAATGAAATTGGAAACATCTCTTAGCAAACTAGCAGAACCTCCAAATAAATCATGGTATTCCATACTGTTGAAAGTTCAGAGAAAAATTCAAAGCGCTGAGCATAATGTATTGTACAACTTGTAAAGCAAAAAATAATATTAAAATGGCAAAAGGATATACCTGGACAAGCAGTTTAGATCACCTGGGACGAGCAGTGCCAGGCTGAATTTAGGAGTGACTCCTTTTGGCCGTCCCTGAAATTTCAATCAGCAAGATAAACTAAGAGTTGACATATCTTCATTAATTTAGCAAAATGCGGAAGAAGAGAGTAAACATCAAGAAAGTTACAATGCCTTCTAAAAGGCTATTACTAGAATTTTACTAAATTCTTGATAAACTAACTATCCATATACACATTATTTCCTATGACAGTGGCAGGATATAAATAGGTAGAATTACAATTCCAAGTTGATGTTGCAATTTTATATTTTTTTTAAAGACACAAGTTTCTTATGAGTAATTTTCCATATCACCTTTTAATGAATCATATAATGAGATTATCAAATTAACATATCAATTATCAATCGTACGATAAATATAATGCACCACTCACATGTGCAAAATGTATTAGCAACATATCAGATGAGATTTTTACCATGAAGAGCATTGCCAGATATTGCAGCTTCATGCAGTACTAACGTGTGCCCATCTGCACTTGAGTCAAACCTTCTTTAGATATTAACTAGTACATACTTAAATATAAAGTGTGAAACTAGTTAGTAAATAGAATTACTTGTAGTAATTGATTACCTTGCTATAAAGGAGAAACTAGTTTATGTAATCTTGTCAGATAACTTCTGGCTTCTCCTCACAGACACCTACAACATAAGTATTTTTATTTACAGGATGTGTGCATACCATGGCATCAATTATTATAGGAAAAAAAGAGTTACTCTTTATCTTTGAATGTCATGTTGGTAACTAAGTGCTCTTGAAAGCCCCTCTAAGTTAGAATTTTATTGTTATTTGAAGCTCTATAATACTAAGCAAAATTTGATTTTGAGTCAAAGAATCATGATATTAGAATCATAAATAGTTAAAGTAACTACACTTCAGCTGTCTTTTACTATCGAGTTGCCTTGGTAGCAGTGACATCTGAATCTCCTCTATCTGGTTCATACAGAATAGAAAGAAGGTATTAAGAGCTCACACACCTTATACTCAATCACCATTCTCATGTTGTTAGAGATTCAACCTTAAATTACATATGCAGACACTGATTTATTCAGTTCTCACTCAATAGAAGCACAACTCAGTGGTAGAGAAGATACTTAAATCTATTGTACAGAGGATGTTTCACGGAATATGAATTTCCCTTTCAAAACTTAAGACTACAAGGAGATTTATTTACAATCATTTATAAAGGCACAATTACCAAACTTAAAGGCATACAACTGAGTGGACAATCAATGTGAATTGTAAGAATCTTCTTCTTTTTCTTCGAGTTTCAATCTGAAATTCAGCCAAAACCAAGTCTAATCTTCACCAAAATCCATCAAAATCGAGATATAAACTCCAAACTATATTCCCAATTATTTGCAACAACACCCAATCCAGACAAATAATGATTTTTGAAAACCCAAATTCAAATTCAAAGCTTCAAACCTTTTTAATGGTTGTCAATGGTGGAATTGCTGCTCTCTTTTCCTTTCCTCTTATATTACTGAAACTTGGGATTGAGAGATAGAGAAAGACGTAGAGAGAATTCTCAATTCTTTGCAACAACATCCAATCCACACAAACAATGTCTTTTGAAAACCCAAATTCGAATTTAAAGCTTTCTAATGGTTGTCAATGGTGGAGGGGTTACAGATTTTCGCTGATTTTAGAAGATGAAATCGTGGGTGATTGAAGAGGAAATCATGGGGATTTGGAGAGAGAAACTTGGGGTATACAGTTGAGTAAAATTAGGAGACTAATTAATACCACTAAAATCCTAAAATGGTACATAAATGGTAATTAGGTATATAGAAGGTAATTATATTAAAAATTAAGTATGGAGGGTTATATTAAAAGTTAAGTATGGCATAAGAATGTAAAAATTCCTTAAAATTATCACGTAAGAGACTGAAGTTCACGCCGTTGTTCTGCTCCCTACCTTATATCTATGGCGCTTATACTTTGGATAAAGTACCAGCAAAAAAATTATATTTAGATTAGTTTCTGAAAAGAAAAGAAAAAACGTTTTTAGGGAACATTTGAGGGTTTGTTTTAATTTTTCCGAAGATTTTTTTTCCTGATATCTTGAAAAACAATCTGTTTTTTCAGATCAAACCGTAACGTACAAAGGATATCTTGGAAAACATTCCGAAGTACTTCTTACTGCTTTCATCATTAAAATATTCTACTTGTGTGGTGGCATGTGTCCAAAAGTCGGTCTTGCTGTTGATCAAGGGAGTGGCTCATTCATGCATGGTCCAAAGGAGAATAACATGTTCAACCTCTGATTTGGAATGTTAAAAGCACAACCAAAACTTGGGAAAATTAACAAGAAAAATAACAATAACTTCTTAACAAATATTCAAGAACCATCACATTAAATCAACTTGTCGCTCCTCCAATTGGTCTCATTGGACCAGTTTCCTGGCATGTTTTAAAACAAATTAATGACACAATAAAAGGAAGCCCCACAGGTTCCAAGAATCCTAAATCAGGCAGGACCTGAAGCTCCACGGCATTTCATATCAACCATTTGGGAAGATGACGGACAATGTCAGAGCAGCAGCAGCAGCAACAACAACAACAACAACAACAACAACCCACTAAATCCCACTAGTGGGGTCTGGGGAGGGTAGTGTATAGGTATACCTTACCCCTACCCCGAAGGATAAGAGAGGCGGTTTCCAATGTGAGCGCAGCATTTTCTGGATTAATACTATGGCTTGATAGTCATGAGATGTCAGAACATGAATCAATCCTATCTTAAAAGTAAGCACATGACTTCTCCATCTTCCTATCCTTCCAACTATCTAACTTGACAAGACCAAAATATTCTAAAACTGTAGAACTTACTCTGGCTTGGCTACAACGAAAAACAAGCATGGAACAAGAGAAGAATTTGTTCACTCGCTCAGCATGTCAGTCACCTCTAAAGATGGACAAGGGTAAAGGAAAAATTCATGCCAATGGAGGCGTCTAATTGATGGACGAGTGAAAAGAGGGAGATGATTTGAAAAATAGAAAAGGGAAAACAAAAAACACGCAGAAGCTAAATGAACACTCCGACAACCTGGCTTGAGGGTTTGCCACCATCTCTCCTGCCTATTGGAAAATGCTACTCACAGAACAATCATCGTGCACTCGCCAAATTGTTTCACCGAGAAGATTTGCGACTGAGAGAACGGTCAGCTGTGGAAAAAAATTTTTCTCCATGGCAGGAATTGTGTTTGTGACGATGACCTCTTGAAAAAGGCCACTTGACAACCTCTCGATCGCAGGGGGGCTGTCAGAACAAGAATATTAATAGTGAATTAATATAAAGGTAACTCATGAATATGCGTAAATTTGGAACCATATATCAAGAATGTTGGAACCATAGGAACAAAAAAATTGCAGCTGTTTCGAATATTCAAAAAAATAACACCTTATGAGTCTCAACATCAATGATATACGAATTAATTCTACCTCCTGTCCATTTTAAATGTTGTTTTAACCTCAGGAAGGCATTAATTATCTTTTTCCAAATCAACCCGCCCTCCAATAAATGATCTAAAAAGTTTGAGGAGAGAAAGGGTAATTTGAAGAGATTATAAAGGGTATGATACGATCCTCGATAGCCCGGGAGGAGCAGAGAACATTGAGGATGACCTCGAATTATCTAGTGGATCGTTGACTCGATCCAAGTCCAAGGTTAAAGGAATGCGCGCTAAGGAGTTGCATGATCTTCAACAATTGATTAGAAGGTACTTGGAGAGTCAACTTGAGAATTCTTGCAAAGAATACCATATTTGGAGGCTTGGAATTGAAGTATCAAGACCTCAAGCCAAACCATGTGACACGGTTGCACCAAGTATTGGCCATGGTTCAAGAGGAGTCTGAAGAGCCGAAGAAAATAAGCTTATGGATTTCGACACGATTTAGCTATGTAACACGGCTGAGGCTACCGTTGAGGACCCGGTTGGGCCTGACGAGCTGTTTTGGAAAATCAACTTTGGAACTTTTTCCTATTTTCCCAATTGGGTATTTAATATTTATACTAACCTAGGGTTATTTCATAAGTCATATTTTGACATAAGAAAACTCTTGAGAGAGATTTTGAGCCTCTTGGTTCGCATTCGACTTTGGATTACCTGTTTTCAATAATTGGATTCTTGAGGGCTATCTTCTTCTTCTTTCTTTATATCTAGGGTTTCTTTTTGTCATACCCGTTGCTTTGTGTATCTCAGGTCGTATCAGGGTAACTTAGTCAAATAGTCCTTCGATTAATAATATTATATGTTTTTTTAATGGGTATGCCAAATAGTTAAACGAACAATAAAATGGACCGGAGGTAGTACTAAACAACTCCAATAATATTAGTGAAAGTTTGAGTCTTAGCTGCTCCCAGAGATTCTACTCTCATATACCAAAGAAAAGTGACTAGCCCAAATTTGCACAAGGTTATATATATACTTCCACTCCACAACAAGTAAACAACCACTATTAAAATAGAAACGTGTTCAGCCTTTAAAGAAATGATTGAAGGTCTGCCAAAGAATAGAACAATTTTCACACAGCAACAGTCCAGTTGTAAGCTAAAACATCAGCCGAGATAGATTGGTTGAAGTGTATCCATATTCACCCAGCTAACCACTCTACTAAGGGTATAATGTGTATATATAGAGTTCTTAATGCTGTATAATGTGTCAATTAAATGGGAAATTTTACCTAAAAACAGCATGCGTACAGCATGCATAAACTTCACGTGCGCCCTCCTGATGCAAAAGTGCTGCGCCTTTGGCAATAGTCCCTAAGACCCATAAGCAGAAAGTTAACGAATGATTTTCAAACCTGACCTTAGAACAAGAGAATGAGCCGAATAAAAGCAAAAGAAGCTCCACACTGCACATGTGCACCTAGTGGAACTTCTAGTTGAGACAATTTCATAATCTTAAGATGCGCAAATGGAAGAAAGAGAAACATAAAATAAAAATAAAAAAACTTTCAGGGCGAATAACTCAAGATAGAGGATACTAAACAGATCACCACATAGTTCATTGAGTCAGTTAGTGTCCATGCTAGAAAGAACTAAGACTAATAAACCATTTATGTTTCCAGGTTTTGGATCGACAAGAATACTAGAGTTATGCATCCAACTAACCTGCTGTGTCAATCATGTCATCCACCATAACTGCAACTTTTCCTTTAACATCACCTATCAGGTTCATAACCTGCAACACAACAAAATAATGGCTCCAGGACAAGATAGGATGTGTTGAAAGCGACGTTGGAAGAAGAAATGCAAACAGAGTTTACTACTTTGTGTAGTATAATAGCTCTATAATATTGTTTTCACCTGAATTCAAGCATATCTGCTATGGGTTTTTCCCCTCCGTAGTTGGATGCTTAATCAACAGGTGTAAGTGATAAATTAAAAAGAATAATTAGGATGATGATCCTCATATAGAGCAAACCATATCTAAAAGCACCAAAATCATGTTGAGGTACACTAAAGAAGAAGTGCAGATAGATGTACGTCACAACACAGTCAGTGACCCATGAAAACAAGTATTTGATGTCTTGACCAATATTAATTATTAAGCATCAAAAAGGAGTTGGGTATAGAGCTCGTACATTTAAAGTACCTTTTTAGTACTCTGTTAATGAATTACCTTACTGGTCCCCATTAAAAAAAGAATCTGTAGCAGTTTACTTGACTTGGGAGGAATGCTTATAAACTATGAGACCAATGCTGCGGAAATACGGCCTACTCCACAAAAAAGAATCTTTTTGAGACTGCTAGGCACTTGCAAGCCAAATGAATAGTCCTGAACCTATATAGCATTTTCAGATAGGAACCAAAGGACCCTTTCACCTTCCAACATTCCCCTAAACACGTGGAAAAGCAAAAACAAAAGGAAGGGGGGGGGGGGGGGATTGGGAGGGGAAAGGATTGAAGCAATAGCGTTGGTTAGTCCAGCCAAAGAGGGGAATTGACCTTTGAGTAGAAACCCTTGATTAGAGGATTAACTAAGTTTTGTGGAAATACATCCTGCTAAATGATCCTCCAAAAATCTGTAAGGACAACACATTGCTCACAAGTTATGTTGCCCGTACTCTTCAACAATGCCCCAGCCGTGTGTGTGCCAGATCCTCCAAAGTAGTACATTTTTGGAGGATCCGATACGGGTGCGACAATATTTTTGGAGAGTTCGAGCAACGTAGCTCACAAATAGAATTTTTAAAGGGGGTCTTCATCTCATCTATTGGGAGACCAGAACTTAAAACATTGTTTCCATGACAATGCAAAAAACTGCAGTACCAAGGTTTAGCTTTGTATCTACCTCGGCGACATTAT